GTGGTCCCAAAATGGAAGCCGCCGTAAGCCACCACGAGTCATCACAACCACAACGCCTGGTCTCAGGCCGCCTTGAATTTAGCTTGAAAAACTTCCACGTCCAAGTTGTACCAAATCGATTGACTCCAGGAATATTCTGGAGATAGTAAACACCAGAGAACTGACTAGAGCCGTTTTTTCTGTTAGATCGTGCTTGACGATGTACAGCGGTCTTTGTCCATGGCGATACTAGGCCTTGCAGCAATGCCTCTTCTCTGCTTGCTTCGACGCGCAGTTGTCGAAAAGGGGAAGCGCTGGCTTTCGTTTTGCAGCTTCTCAGGTTTGTTTGTCTATCCTCTATCTATCTACTATCTATCTATCTGTCTGTCTGTCTATCCATCTATCTATCTATCTATATACCTATCTACCTAAATCTATCCATACTCCAGTATTATGATTGTTCATGATTGTTTGTTTTTTCCAGGTCCCTTGACCCTCGTCAGCACGTGCTAGGCCAGCCAATGAATCAGTTCCCAGATGGAACACCGTGCTCACTGCGCCTGGGTTGTGCCAAAATTGGCGGTGTGGTCGTGTCGAATCTGCGACCAGGAACGTCGTTGACGTTGTTTTGTGTGCTTCTTCCTGACGAGAAGTGCCAGTCGAGAGATGTGACTTGTCGGTCCTATGAACGCACAAGCCCCAGGTATCCTGAGGTGGTAAAGGGTACGATCAGATCGATATGGGCAATAAGTTGGTGAGCTTGGCGAGCTTTGCCGGCTTCCTCGTGGTGATCACTCGTGTCTCCATCCAAGTCTCGTGATCACTCAACCGGAGCGTTCGCTCGACAGAGCCTCTCTTTCCCCCGTCTGGTGGCGGTCTGCTTGTGGGACACCTGACTGGACTTTGGCATGCGAACGACGGCTCAGGAAGGGTGGCTTTGGGAGCTGCAAGGATGGGCAATGCCAAGTGATCGAGGAAGTGAAGGAAGAGGAGCACCAAGGAGCCAGGGGATGGGTGAACGGAAAGAATGAGCAGCAGAGCTTGATGGAACTGGATGAGTTTGGTGGAACTGGATGAACTTGGTGGAACTGGATTCACTTCTGTGAGATGAAGAACCCAAAAGAGGAGATGGGAGGCTTTGATGAACGCAAGGTGCTGTGCCTAATTAGGTGTGGATGTGAGATCAGATGCATCGTGGGGTGGGGTGTGGCAGCCGGTCTTCCAAGGAGTACCCCAACAAAGATCAAGCGCTGCCTTGGCTATATATTTTTGGTTCAGGGCCCAGGGTTTCCTCCAAAATCCTGTCAGACACTGTGCCGGGCCCGACCCGCAGGAGCTAAAAGTGAAGTGGTGGATTTGCAGCCAGGCATGCCTGGTGTGTTCGGCACGGGATGACCTTGAAGAATCAGGTACACAGACCTCCTCGAAACCGGGTCTTTTCAGGACGGGTTCGGCCACCATGCGATCTAGGCGTTGCAGTATTTGTCAAGACCGCGGGATTTGTAAAGAGGATTCACCAAGTAAGCTAGGGTCTCTTTGACGATTTCATTGCCAGAGCCACACCCTCTGCTTACGGAAGCAAGACATCCTGTACATTCCTGCACCACTGTTGTGAAGATTGTATATTATGCCCTTGCGCTCCCTTTTTAACATTGCTTGGTCCGGCATCAAATCTTGCAAAAGGTCCCATTGACGAACATCCAGCAGCACCTGCTTGTATGACCCAACAGCATTGAATAGGGTTGGGGGCCTGCTGGTGCTGGTTTGTCAGGTGTGGACAAACTATGTGTCAGGAGTTCTTCTGTCAACCGCAGGGGGTTCCGGCATTCATCTCACTCGTCATATCGCACTAGCGCCGCAAAGATCCATCGGAAGCCCGCTCAAAAAATACACAGGGTTGATAAGTTGACAATATAATTACCTAGCGCTTCCAAGGGGTGCCCAATGGAGACCTGTAAGTAGTGTGGAGATGTCCATTGGTGACCCCTTGGAAGCAGCTGGTATACAATATATAGAAATATACATATATATGTAATATATATATAATATATATATTATATGGTACCCCCCCTTTTCTATGACACAGTGCTCTTGCATGCTTTTTGGATCCCCTGGTATGATCTGGTATGCCTACTGCAACCTTGGAGACATGTTTCCACAGTTTTAATCGTTGAGTCATTTCCAAAAAGTCCGAGGAGTGTAAAAAGTTCAATCTCAAATTCCAGTTCAGGCGAAGAGCAGGGATCCGTTCCACCCAATGCCCGTTCCGCGATGTAGACTGGCTAAGTGTCCGGCGAGTGCCAGGGTCCAGCGGCGTCGGTGCACGGCACAGGTGGAGAAAAAGCAGACACTTGGAATCACCATGAAGGTGGGCTGTGGCAGCTGATTGGGGGCGTCCAGTTTCATCTAATTCTAATTATGATGGGGGTCGTGGGCAAAGAAACCTTGGACGAGAGAGAGAGAGAGAGAGGATTGATTCATGTCACAAAAGGATTACGTTTTCTGCTTTTGCTGGTGGGTGTTTCAATAATCTATATGGAGGGTCCATATGTGAGAACATTTTCCAAGTATATGGCATCATGAAGTTATTCAAGCCGAATTACTGTAGTTGCCCAGGCCCTAATATGTTTTCGTGTTTACTACGTAGGGGTCAGATCTCTCCTAAGTCATCCTGTGATACAATTCGGATCCAGGTGTCAATGACGAGGACCTTGAGGACCAGGAGTGGGGCAGTCGATGCAGTCGATTCTGCAAGGAATCAAGCAGCTAGAGTGTGGGTTGTGGGTGTGGACCTATGCGATGCCCTTTGTTACTAGTAGCTTCTTCTTCCTAGTAGTAAGGCCAGGAACTACGTTCGTAGCGTCCTTTCATGCACCTAACGAAACGTTATTGATCGGGCTGCGAAACAGGTGTGGAACTGGTCACGGGTTTCGGCAGGACAACGCGTGCCAGACCCATTTCAACACGGTTGTCCGTTAAACAGTGGGGCTAAAGTCTATAGCTAGAGGATTTCTTCTTTTTGAACGCATTGCCATGTGGCGCAGCACCTGCACCCAGCTACACAAACATCATCAAGCAGACACTCAAGAAGATAGGGGTACACATCCCTCAAATCCAAAAATCTGAAGAACATATTGTTACTGCAAAAGAGGGCAGGCTCCCAAAACAGTTGTTATATATTATCTTGCAATCTTCGAACGGCCCTTTTCCTCTTCCCGCAGCCCTGCTTCCAACGGCCCTTGATTCCGGGGCCATTGGCCTTCGCGAGGAGGCTCCACCTGATAGCACTGAATGTGTTGCTTGACTCAGATTCAGCGCCTTTCCCTCTTTGATGGGAAAACGATGGAATTGAAGCAGCCAAGGCAAGAAAGTTATATATAACGGACACTTTCTCCATCTACTCAATTTACTTTGCCCTTGTTTGGGGAATGAACGTTGGTTGCGTGGATGGCACTAAGACACTTTCAGCGGATGATGGATGGGCATGGAAGATTTAACACACACCTCTTGACGTATACGTGGTGAGTTCGTGAGCACACCTTGCAGTAGTTCCATGAGCACACAAAGTGCCCTGTAGTTTTGTTTTGTTCATGATCCTTCGAAGGTGTTTGAACATGTTTGAGCATAGCTTTATTCCTCCAATATTTGTTCTATTCATGTTTGTTCTAAACTTCCGTCAGTGGCTGGGTTTGCAGCCGAGATTTCAATCACCAGCGTGTTAGCCTCCTTGCCAAGCAGAAAGCCCCCCCCCAAAAAAAAAATAAGTTGTTGAACTCATGTGGCGCCGGGTTTTTCAACCCAACCGATGCGAGACTAGCGGGTCTTAAGGGTCTTGGGGTCTTAAGGGTCTGACAATGAGTCGTAGGGTTTGACGACCCTGCGGATGTGGCCGTCCCTTTTGACGGACTGCGTCGGCCAGGCCACCGAACAAATCGCTTCCCCAACCTGGTCGTGTACATGAGGGTCTTGGGTACGTGATCTCCAGCAAACAGTGCAATTCTCGAGGATCCGAATTGTTGTAGCCGAAAAAAGTGGTAGTTCAGTTTGAAGAGAAGGAAGATGAACGAAGAAATACCTCATAGTATACCTCATAGTATACCTCATGTGTGCTCCAACTCTGCAATTATCGTTTTCATCCCTCCTCGCTGCCTTCCGCTGCCATGTCGAGGGCGAATGCCTCAATGGCGTGAACTGCAACATCATCCGGGCAGCCCGGAAGCAGAGCTTGAAGGATTTGATGAAGACAGGAAGAAGCTTGTAGAGCTGCAGCAGAGCTGGATGAGACATCCAAGAACTGGATGAGTTGTAGGAGTTGGAAGATCAATTCATCCAATTGGATGTCTCATGACGAATCGGATGTCTCATGATGCATCCTTTTGCCAGGATGCGTCCGTTCAGTTCACCAACGGTGGATCTAAGAGTATATGTAACATTCAGTGGCGCGATGCCACCAGGATAAATGGCATCAATATTATCAACTGCCTATAAACCAGCAGAGGTTGAAGAACCCGAACTAGACTATCCTATAGGTACCCCTGGTTACGGGTCCTATTTACGGTCACTTAACCTCTGTAGGTAAAGCCCCTAGAGCTGCGGAAGATCATGCAAACATCTATTTGTTTGGGCGGCTGTCAACTGTCCTGTTGCTCCAGCATGCAGCAGATCATGAATACGTGGGAAATGTGACAGTCCCAAATCAGTCGAATGATTTCCAGATCCTACGTGAGCCAACCAGCCACTGCATGTGTTCTGTGTTCTGTGCTTCGTTTCGTGCCGAAAAGCCGGTGCCGTAGAAGCACGCCCCGCCGGTGCCGTTGGAACGGTGAAGAAGCACGCCCTCCGATTTCGGACGGGCTCCGAGGCACGGTCGTCCTTTACCAAATCCTGCGAGGACCGAAACAACGCAAACACCGGGAGCACCGTGCCGCTCCCATGCATGCAGTCGTCCATGTTGCAGAGAGGTCGAAGTGGGGGGTATTCTTTCCCAAATTCCCGCAGGAGATCGAGAAGGACTTCGGCTGCGATTGCAGCTCGTGTAGCGCTTGCGCCGAAGAGCAGCAGCCCAAGGAGAAGTACCAAGGATGCGACGCTGGTCTTAGCAGTCTGGGCCAGAGCCCGACCTGGGGGTTCAATGGATTTAGGGAGGCCAAAGCGGGAGCTAGCTTTGATGTTGAAGTAGAGGCATGTATGGACTGTGAAATGGACTGATACAAAATGACATAGACTGGGGCCCACCTTCAATGAATGGAACACAATGGAATGCATTGTTTTTGTGGTGATGTTACGTGACTACCTTTTTTTCAATCAGGTACCTTCGGTCATGGGGGTTTCATTGAACAACTTGCGTTTGATGGTTTTGCTTAAAGCGATGGTTTTTTGATGGTTTCATTTCATGTTCCTTTTTTTTAATCCCTTTTGGTACATCCCCCAATTTGTTTCCCAGGTTCCCATCGTCGCGATCCACACCGAGTCTCGATTCCTTTTTTTGTTGTAAGGAGAAGACCTGTGGAGGGATCCTTTGGTGGGCGAAGAGCGCCATGGCAGAGACGGATAGAGACTGCCTGAGGACGGTTTTGAAATTTTGGTCAGGTCCAGTCATTTTACTTAAATGTGATTGGGGTCAGGTAGCTCAAGATATGGCCCTTTGGTGGTTTGTTCCACCAGTTTATATCTCTAAAATGACCTGCATGTCCCCACCATGGTAATGGGGTCGGGTATGTTTTGACCATGGAGTGAAACCTAGGACCTACATGTGGGTGAAGATGAGACTCACAAACCCCAGCGAACCGAGGGGTCCTTTGCGAGACTTTGGGAGGAAGGAAGGAAGGAAACAGAACTCAAGATGAGGTGTGCTTGCAAAATAGCAGCTAAATACTCTTGAGAAAGGCCTGCAATCTATCATCCACGGCTACTGTGAATGGGACAAACCGTGATAATTATAGTGACGGACACCCACTTAGAACATATTTTGGAAAAATAAACAAGATGAGTCACAGATATGCCGATGTTCTAAGATTCTAAGTGTGCGCTTAGAACATATGTCTGGAGAAAAGTCCAGGCTAAGAACAATGGTAAGAACATTGGCCTAAATGCTGGCTTTGAACAAAAAGCATGCTTTGATCATTCTTATGAAGGTTGCCACCGGCTGCAGACTTTTGTATGCCCACCCCTAACCAGAAATCTATGCAAACATACAAAGTAGCGGGTTCTAAGTGGGTGTCCGTCACTATATACCCCAACATCAATCAGGAGTTGAACAATTGAACAAATTCGGTGATTGTGCTTCTTCATCCATCCCAAATGAGTGGATCGTTTGGGTCGCTCAGCTTCCACAAGTGGGCATCATGGTTTCGTTGTTCCTACTAGTAATAGCTTCTTGTTCCGTTCGTAGTATGGCCAGGAGCCCCAAGGTAGCGCCCTTGCTCCTAGTAGCGATGCCAGGAGCCGCTTCTTCCACGGACTGAGCATTTTCACCCAAATGTCTCATCCGCCGCTGAAAGGGGTCGCTCCCGGTGGGTCCACCTGACCGGGAGCGGCCGCGAGAGACCGAGGCTGCGACACACACATTTGGAACGCACGGGTGCAGGGCCACAAAGGCTGGCTCCAGGGGTGGAAGGGCCGCGAAAACTCTGGGTGACACGGTGGTAGACATGGCGGGAGCGTTGAGAAGCCTGTTTTGGAGCATCACCCAGAAGCCTTGGAAGCCTTAGCCGTAGCCCAGGTGGATTGATTGAAGGTTTGGATGGAAATTGGAGGATCAACCTGCATTCCTTGGGGTTTGGGGAGGGAAGATCAATCACTCGACTTTCCCATTTGCGCGTTGCTTGCTATGTTGCATAGTGGAAAAGACAGATCATCGATCGTAGGTTCTATTTTGTGCTTCAGAGTCAAAATGGCACTTCCTAGCCAATGTCATGTGAACCAAAAAGGACCCCATCCGCCTACCAGGAATCACACGTCGGGGGTGCCGAACTTGGAGGAGATGGATGCCCCTGTCACATCCACTGGATGGGACGAGCCACACCACCCCGTCTTGTGACTCCTGGATGCCACCAGGTCCCATCATCATCCCCTGGGCCCCCAGATGCCATGGGTGACCTGTTTTTCTGCGGCCGCCGTGGTCCGGCCAGGCCATGCCAGGACGACGTGCAAGGGCTTGAAGTGCCGTGGCCGGTGGAGATGTCCTGATCTGCCGCCCCGTGGGCCCCTGACATCCACCAACCACCAATGTATGCGCAATATGCCGTAATTATATACATGGAGTGTCACGGTTTCATCACAAGTGACTGTAGATTTCCACGAGTTGGATTTGTATATTTCTTGGCCTGGAGGCGGTTTTTTGGGGGTTTGATTTTTGACATGATCTACCGTGTTTTCAGAGTAGATGACACCGGAACCCGACCGTATAAACCACCAAATTTGGGGACTGTGCCATTGACTCGACTCTCAACCCACTATACTGTAGGTCACAAGTATCTTGGTTGATTTTTTGGTGCGTCACAGAATATTTGAGGAAAGGCTGGAAGGTCCGGGCCGTCATGTATCTCTCCATGTCCTATGTTTGTCGGGTTGTTCATCCGCTAGTCCTTGAGAGGGTCATGTGGCACAAAGCAGCCCTGTCCGACATTTGAGGAATAGATGGAACTGCAATTGTGATGGATGTCTTCTTTGTGCTTCGGCTGCATGCTGTGATGCCTTCCTTGCATGCTCATCGCCGCATCGCGAGAGTGGGGGAAAGAGGTCGTGTATATGCAGGACACTGAATCTGTGCAACAGATGCTTCCCCTAGCAGTCCTAAATGATCCTCAACTGCGAGTGAATACACCAAGAAGGTCTACAGCTTTTCAGGTGCGTCTCTCATTGAGGTGAAGAGGAGTTCGATGAGGCGAAGATGATGGAGTGAATTGTGAGATCTTGAGCCACAGACGTGAGAGTGAATCACGGCTCACGTTTGACCAGCTAAACTTCTAGAGAAGATGAGGCAAAAGTCATCATGATACCTTGACTGTATGTCTAGTGATTGAGTGAAGGGCTTGAAAGTGGTTGTTATTTGTTGGAAGTTGTTGGGTTCACATGTTGTATGCTTGCCATACCGTTCATATGAGCCGGGCCGGCCAAGCGGGCCCCGCACAGAGCCAGACCTTCCAAAGAAGAAGGGCACAGCGGAAGAGCTGATGGCACCAGAAAGTGCGGGTTTGAAGGCTTGAATAGATCGACACCTGCCCCCCCCTCAGACACCTTGGGGACCAAATGAATAGATCGAAGCAAACAACCAAACAACCAGGATGTTTGATTTCTGTGGGAGCATTCTGAAAGGGATGATAAACTTGCAACACGTTCTGAGAAATCGGGATGTTTTATGTGCAATTTAACTAAATGAACGCATGTGGAAAGGGCAAGCAAGGCACCTGTTGGTTTCTCGAAAGGATATTTGAATGGATCACCACCCACCCATGGTTTCCACAAAGTTAGAATAAGGAGACTAGAAGACCTCCACCACTTCGACCCGCTCAAACAATAAATGCTCCAATCCATGTGGACAAGAAACGATTCTTATTCCATACCTCGACCCTTTGTTGGTGCCTTGACACATGATACAATAAGAAGATTGTACAATGTTCTAGCCCTAGGGCTCCAACCATACCCTCAGAAGGTGGTTAGACCCCCCTGGCACTTCCCCAACCACCTTCGAAACGGAGGTGGGACAGGAGCCCTAGGGTAGGGTCATCCCACTTTCCCTGCGTACTTTGCAGGGTCCATATGATCCATCTATGATCCACTCTCGGTGCATTGAGAGTAGGCAGATGGCACCATTCCCGAAAGGGAGGTCTTTGAAGATCCTTTCTATTTGGATCATTCTGGTTCCATATTCCATTTGGATCCCTATCTTCAAGGCCTCTTAAAGGGGGGTTGTATGCTATCTACTTCTATCTTGAAACGTGCGGACCTTTGGCTGCGGTGCGGACCATCGGTGCCCCTGTCTCGTTGAACTGAGTGGAACTGCTGGTGTTCAGTCGTAGGTCCCTGGAGTCTCAGTTCGTTCAGAAGATGAGTACAAGTACCCTCCAAAGTATATAAAAACAGCTACTTGTCACCCATTTTCCGATCTACTTTGTACCCCCGCTCCCGGTACATCGAGTTATTACCCTTTTCTCTTGGGCTTCGGGTCCCATGGCTTCAGTCTCTCCACCGATGAACGAGGCCTTCGTTCGCTCCACCGCCTTCGAAACCACGGTGGCGTGCCCTGGGCGGCACCGCTCGACGCGGAGTCGGGCGGAGTCGCGGAGCCGGAGTCGCATGAAGTTGCGGAGGGGCATGGGACTATAGTGACTATATAGTAGTGACTATATAATATATATATATATATTCTGTTTTTTTGGATGTTCATTGTTAAATATTTGGACATCATCAAGAACAGGATCTTGTTTATAATCTCATAGTTATATACTCTATTGACCAAGGATCATCCAATAGTCAGAATGATCACCATCCCAAGATCCAGTTGGTTATTTGGAAATTTGGTCATTGGCATTGGCAGCAGTGATTGGACAATTCGGACCGGTAACGACTGAACGGAAATTAATTAGTAGCAGGATGTACCATCCAAGCCCAGCAACCCGGCATGATTGCCGCTTTGCATTGTTACTTGAATGGAATTGCTGAGAACTTGATTATTGCTGAAGCGTCCAACACCCATTGCAGGCAAACGTGGAAGTTTCATTGGTTTGGAACAGAAGAATCTCCATCAGCAGGTTCAATGCCGTCACCCTTTGAGTAAGGCAGACCAAATGAACAGCAAAAATGCATTTTTGCCGCACGTGTTCCACTGTTCTAAAAAGCCCCCACCATCCTACCGCCCAAGCCGATGCCAAAGCCTGACACGCCCAAAGACCAAATGCATTGGTATACTTCATGGAATGTACAATCCATGTGTCGCCTATTTACCCACATTGGGGTGGTTGAAAAGGGGTCTACTAATAGACCATTGGATGGATGGTCTGGGCCAGGAAGGAATATGAAAGGCTAAGACCCTGGGTTGTTTCGATAAATTCCGCACACCTTCAAGTACTAAGTTAATCTATGGAGATAGAATGATATAGAAACATGGACCTCCACCTATGAAAACACTGAAGACTTGAATATGCTTGCTGCTTGAACACAGCTGCTATGTTTGTTTTTTTGTTTATTGTTTTTTACTTAAAGCACGATTGCTTTGCATTAGACTATGAGGACTATCCTTTTAGATCTTTTTGGGGTGGCTAGACCTTTGTGTTCGCCTGTATTATGTGACCGATCTTGACCTTTCGCCCAGAACGCATGGGTGAAGGGCTAGGCCTCAGAAGCTTCACCAACGTAGGCTGTGAGGGTTGGCCGCTTTGCCAACCTCTTCCTCCCACACCTGCGGAACATGCTTCCGGGTTAGCCGGTAGATTGACATCCCAACCAAACAGAGGTGTTTTTTCTTCGACCGGTCAACCAAGGTGTTTGATGGTTTTTGATGGTTTTTGATCCAAAGGACATATAAGCAGCAATTTCTAATTGGTGAAGTTGTTTTGTGTACTTTCCCAAAATTACAGAATTATACAACGTTTGAGTCGAGGGGTCGCTATGGGTTGCTTGAAATGTATTCCTCTCGTACGACCCCTCAGCAAATCCAGCGATGGAATCAAGGTGCCTCAAAAACTTGTTCTCCAATTCTGGGGGGCTTGGGAGGAATTTCGCTAAGTTCGCTTATGACATGACGGTTCTCGGTTCTCAATTTTCCCCAGGCTCTCCATCCTCAACACTTTCCATCGAATTCCGATGCACAGACTGTACAGTGATGTAGTCACGAAAGCTAGCCTTAGCTAGCTGGAGTTGCTCTTGCTTTAGCAAGTTAAGTGACGGGGTGGACGCACCTCAGAAACCTCAAATAATTGATTAAATCAATCTTATGGACCCCCCCCCCCCGGGGTTCGACTCCCCCCTGCGCGCGGTGAGCGGGACCACCAAGCAGCTGCAGCACACCAAGCATCTGCAGTCTACCACCAAGCAGCTGCAGCAAACCACAAAGGCGCAGCAGCAGCAGAAGCAGCAGACCCAGAGCAGCAGCAGCAGCAGCAGCAGACCACCCAGCGCCAAGCAGCAGCAGCAGACGACCCGGCCCGGCTAGCTTTCGTTCACCCCCTCTGGCCTCAAGTGATGTACAGTATCTAGTAGGATTCAGAGCACTCAGATGGCACAAATCCTCTTCGCTGGGGGTTCTACACACACACACACAGACACCAGCTGACGGTATGTGCTGATTTAATTCAGCTACACTCCCTGACAGAATCACACGGCTCATGGCCCCTTTAAACGACCCTTTTCCAAATACCAAACAGGTCGTGAACTCCACGTCCGAATTCTTTCAAGGAGGGGGTCACCAACCTGACCATCCAAGGGCAGTGATCCTGATGAACTGTGCTACGATCGGCATTGAGGTTGGTGTTCTTTGCCGCCCAACGTTCGTCGGAGGTTGAAGGTGGTTAGACCTGGCTATGTTTTTCTCGGTCCATGATCCATAGGGTTGAGTTGAGAGTAGATGGCACATTTGTCCGAGAGTTATATAGGTGTTTCACATTTGGACCCCCCAGGCGCAGGCTTGGAGTTTCCTTCCGATCCCCGTCGATTCAGGCAAAGCACTAATTACTGTATATCGAATTATAACATACAGCGGAGGTTCCAAAGACTTAGACCGTAGAGTATCTACTGAACAAAACCCTCTTCCCTTCAGGTGTTGTGGGGGGGGTGTTTCGAATGTTTGTGCAATATTCCATATTTTAATATAATTTCTAGATGTCCGGAAGCGGCTTCACTCGTGGATGGAGATGGCTCGTTGGTTTTGTAGTGCAAAACCCTTAGCAAAACAAAGGGTTCTTCAGGATTCTACCTCCTAAATGACTGGTGCTTAGAATCCTAATGCGGGAGCGCCTAACCCCACAGGCGTATTCCACACAGGCGGACCCCGTCGACTGCGCAGGTCGATGCCACCATCGAACATGTCTCGGAAGAGCTTCAACAGGTGGGCAGGGCAGGGCAGAGAGGAGGAGTTCTGCATGAAAGGTGACTGGCCGAAGTCTATGAGAAAACCCCACTCTCAGTGTCCAAACGACGGTGTTTTTTGGGGTTTCTCCCGCCAGTCGGACCGGTGGAGTGCCGTTTGGTTCATGCACCCGTGGCCCCCACCTTCCCAAGCCCTGCCAAAAGGACGGAAGGACCCTGTGGCCTCGATCCTTCCGGTCGCCCGTGCGTTGGATCCTGCAAGTCCCGAGTCCTGTCTGACGCAGTACAACCTGGGCTTTGAGGTCCTTGAGTACGTGATTTTGCATGTTTTCGTGACCAACTCTAAGTACAAGGTCATTGACCTGTAAGGACATGTTTGGGCGTTATCTTTGACATGTTATGCATTTCCCAGACACGACCTGTTTGTTTGGGACTACCGATCAGGCCACATGGCCAGGGGTGGTTGATTTCAGGGGTCAATGCGGTGGCATTCCCAGATGATCCATAAAAGCCAAGGCTTGGCCGCCACATTCACCACATTAACCGCCAAATAGGCCAGCCATGTACGGTACATGCATGGATCCTCTCGGTGAACTGAACGTCCTCTTCTGCCCAAAATTCAGCACATCGCTTGCCAGGTGGCGGTCATCGGGGAGCACGTTTTTTGCGCCTTCTTCTTGGTGGAGTTCGTCTTGAGGAGCCGGGAGAGGGGAACGCAGATTCCGCGTGAGTTCTGGGGAGCGGTGCACGGGTGGGTCGTGGTCTTTTGCACTGGTGGAGTGGCGAAGACTTCGCCAAGCTCAACCTTTCAAAAGCCATTACACTCAGTCGAACTGGCCACAGGTGCAAAGTGGTTCAGGTTGTGTCCAGCATCCCATCGACGTTTGCAGCTTTCGAGTCAAAGCATGACCATCTCCCCAAGCATTTGCTCCAAGAGACCTTCAACCCATCCAAACCCTTCAACCCCTCCGGGTGCTTCAAC